CTACCCTTTATTTTTATTAATACTACTGCATAGATCAGTAATGAATCTAAGGGAAGAGAGCGGATCCAACTATCTAAGTGACAATCAGTAAAAGTGGTTCAAAAACGAAAAATAAATAATTGAAGTTTACATACCTTCATGACTACTTGGTACGTGAACACCCGGTATATGGAGGCGCTTCGTTTATGCGTGTCGTGCCGGAAGTATTTGTGCTGGTTCTAGGAGTTGTAATTTCTAGAGTTATGTTTCAGCCGCCCTTACCGTAAACAAAAGCTGTAATTAATTGGTCGTTTGTAACCGTTCCCGTCAATTATCTTTGTTGCGTCCGAAAGCTCTTGTCATTTAGAAGACGAGGGCAAATATTTTAAGACTTCAGTTCCCTTAAGTAATTAATAGATGATTTTGATTTCCTATGTTAATTTAAAAGTAGGCAAATTTACACAGGTGTCAGTATGATAAAAAGCCTTTTACCAGAGCTGAGATTCCAAGAGATAATGGGGGTTAATTAGAAGTATAAATTTAGAAATTCTCGCGGGTATAATTAACAGTGGATAAGTAAAATAGTTGCAGTAAACAGCATTCGATTAAGTGGTGAGCGGTTTCATTCGAAGCGCGGTTAATTATTTCAGATTTTGGAATATATCCCCGATTTTTTTAATGACCAAAAGCTGAGAAATGAATTAGTTTTAATTTTCGGACGCACGAAGCCTGAGAAAACCGATCTTCATGGCATGGCCGAATTGTTTAAAAGGTAATGCCATTGTTTAGAGAGGATCTTTTTGCCTTAGTGTTTTGCTTGTTACATTTGTAAGTAAGTACCTGCTGTGTTAATTTTTGACACCTTCCGTAAATTTATTTTGCACAGTTGACCGCACCGTATCTACACCTTTTGGTTTTTCTTTCTCAGTAATTTCTACCGCTCCGTTTTATTGCAAGGCAGAGGCAGACGTTTCTGTAATTGTTATTTACAATTTTTAGAATTAAAGATTATTATTAATTTATTATTATTATTATTAGAGCTGGGCAGAGTACTTTCAAAAAGTATTTGAATACTTTCAAAGGTAACCAAAATCAATAAGAAAAAGTGTTTTCCCCAGAAATTTTGGTGTAGTCGATTTTTGGTAAAAAAAGGCAGGTTATACACTGCCTTTCTTTGAGGCTCGAAAAAAAATTGTCTCAGATCGACCCGGAAAAAAATTTTCTTATAGAATGTGGCCTGTAGAATCCATAATTTCAAACAGTTCCAAGATTGGGCTACTAGTTCAAAAGTTACAGCCCTTTGAATTTTCTTTCGAAATTGGTTTCTAGTCCATAACTTTTGATTGAGAAATCTGATCGAAAAAGTAGGAATTGTTTTGAATTCTACGCACCAAAATTAATCAGAAAAAGTGTTTTCCCGAGAAATTTTGGTGTAATCGATTTTTAGTACAAAAGGAAGGTTATACACCGCCTTTTTTGAGGCCCGAAAAAAAAATTGTCTGAGACCGACCGGGAAAAAACATTTTCTTATAGAATTTGGCCCGTAGAATCCATAATTTCAAACAGTTCCAAGATTGGGCTACTAGTTCAAAAGTTACAGCTCTTTGAATTTTTTTTCGAAATTGGATTCTAGTCTATAACTTTTGATTGAGAAGTCTGACCGAAAAAGTACGAATTGTTTTGGATTCTACGCACCAAAATTAATTAGAAAAAGTGTTTTCCCGAGAAATTTTGGTGTAATCGATTTTTGGTAAAAAAGGAAGGAAAAGGAAAGGAATACACTGCCTTTTTTTGAGGCCCAAAAAAAAAATGTCTGAGATCGACCGGGAAAAAACATTTTCTTATAGAATTTGGCCCGTAGAATCCATAATTTCAAACAGTTCCAAGATTGGGCTACTAGTTCAAAAGTTACAGCCCTTTGAATTTTCTTTCGAAATTGGTTTCTAGTCTATAACTTTTGATTGAGAAGTCTGATCGAAAAAGTACGAATTGTTTTGGATTCTACGCACCAAAATTAATAAGAAAAAGTGTTTTCCCGAGAAATTTTGGTGCAGTCGATTTTTGGTAAAAAAGGAGGGTTATACATTGCCTTTTTTGAGGCCCGAAAAAAAAATTGTTCCAGATCGACCGGGAAAAAACATTTTCTTATAGAATGTGGCCTGTACAATCCATAATTTCAAACAGTCCAAGATTGGGCTACTAGTTCAAAAGTTACAGCCCTTTGAATTTTTTTTCGAAATTGGTTTTTTGTCCATAACTTTTTATTGAGAGGGCTAATCGAAAAAGTACGAATCGTTTTGGATTCTACGCACCAAAATTAATAAGAAAGAGTGTTTTCCCGAGAAATTTTGGAGTAGTCGATTTTTGGTAAAAAGGGAAGGTTAAGTATTCAAATACTATGCGAAGTATTCGAATACTTCTCAAAGTATCCAAATACTTTGCGAAGTATTCGAATACTAAATGTTTGTGAAAGTATTTGAATTACAAATACAAATACCTGCTTCCATAAAAGTATTAATTACAAAGTATTTAAACTGCCCAGGTCTGTTGCAAGGTAAGCTTTTTGACATTCTGTTCCATTAATTATTGGGGGGGAATAACCACGCGACCAAATTACGAAGGTGTTATCGACGTACATATCTCAGACTTTTGTTTGAAGATAAAAAGATTCTAGGGCCACCGATCCAAAAGTCTCCACGAAGATGTCGGCTACCACCTGTGATAGCAAAGAAAACTTTCCTCGGAACTGAAAATAGCTACTAGACAAACACTTGTTGATCAGGGTAACTAAACAGACGTCCTTGTCGTTATCCTTTAGAATTTGCTCATTGATGATGAGAGAATCCTTGATGATAATAAATAAAAATGTCTCGTTATTGTTGATCTACTGCGACTACCTGATTTTATCGTACAATTTGAGATGTGGGTTTTTGTCCCGACGAAGGTTTTCTCCTGGTATCGCTTGTTGTGTTCGTAATATACGAGTATTTATTTGTTCTTGTCTTTTCTTACGCACAAAATTCTACATTTTTTCAATTCCCTTTCGGATTATGTCTCAGATCCCAGCACAAAGAAGATCCCTCCTAGTAGGTCTTACACGGCGTAGGAGTTCATTAGTGCCATCCCGTCCAAGTCGACTACTACTGAGATTTAAAGGTGCTGCGAAACATCCGTCGTTTCGACTTGAAAGTTATGTGGCTGTGCTCGTAGTTGCCAAATGTAAGTATAGGGTAAGTGTAGGCTTCCAAAGGACCACTATGATCGCTACTTACCTCACTTGCATAAGCTAAAATTGAACCTGAATTTGATAGTCTCAAGAAAGGCCAGCTCAAGTAGATATAAAAACTGCTCCAATCCTTTCCCATTTGTGAAGAGTAACATTCTGAAACCTCTTACAAAAAGTACATGGAATGCATTGTTAATTAGCCGGACCTCCTCCAGTCCAGAAGGTATCTGAAGGGCCTGGATATGGCAACCTTAGACTAAAGTTGTAATTCGAGGAATCGCACTCAAAAAAAGCAGATTCGTACACAAAGAATCAAGCTAAATGAGTTTAAACGATTAACATGGTTTTAAATTGCTGACATCGAAATTTCTACATTGTTGAACAGTAACCGCATTGTTTCATTGTGTAAAATGCTTTCCAATCGTGTCTCTACATACGGCGACGGTACTTGTCGTTTCAACGCTGTCTCTATATACGCCAACGGTACTTGACGTTTGAAATTTGAAATCGGACATCTCACCGTATAAAGCATAAAGGCGGGTTTAGGCTCGTACGCAGAATGCACACGTTGCAGAAGTGAGTGGAAATTTCAGCTGCAGAAGTACGCCCCCGTGTGTACTAGTGATCTATCTGTTTATGTTGGTACGCAGTTGTTCTCAGTGTTCAAGTGTCGAAATTGACATTTAAAACCTAACCTCTTTTGGTCGTTAAATAACGTGGTTGGTTAAGTGAATAGAAAAAACAGATTTTTGATTAATTTCTGGAATGGCAGACAAGAAGAGAATTAAATTAAAGAAAATACTGTTACTAACGGCGTTAAGTAATGAGTTGGGGCTCTTGCATACTCAAAGGAGGGTACGACGGTGGGCAGTAAGACCTGTTAACAAATATAGGAGAAATTTTTGAAGGTTTCTAAATGTTTTTCAAGTAATGGTGACAAAGGATCAAGAAGAGCTGTACGCCCGACTACAAACAACTGCGTACAAAGTTTAAATTCTGCGAACTTCTGCGTCTCCTACAGACAAGCATATTTGCGGCAACCTACGTTTTGTATTTGTGCGTTCAAGCATAAACAAGGCCGTATATCAACATGGTCTCGAACTACCTGCGGCTGCGACTTTCTGCAGCAGCGCCGTTCTGCGTACGAGCCTAAACCCGCCTTCAAGCATCGTCTTCATGGCATCCGATGTCCGACGTCCGATCATACGAAAGTGTTCCTATTGGTTGAAAATTTTTAAATGTCGATGGATTTAACTTTTCCGACGTTTGACATTTTGATTGATTGATTTAACCTCAATGAATTACATGTATATAGAAAACGCAGTTAGTTTTTATTGTTTTGAAATAGTTTTCATTTTTGGTGTAAATGTTTGCTACTGAGCCGCACCGCTAGGACAAGGTGTAGGTATCCCATGGGGACCTAATTAAAATTAGATTATTGTCAATGTGATGATTTTATTCGATTTCATTGCCAATGTTGTTTAATTACTGTAATTACGCCAAAAAGATTTAACAAAAATTAGTAAAATGATTTGTAGAAGTTCACATCAAGAAAATTGGCAGCAACTTATGATGGACGTTTCAAAATGTCAATTAATTGGGACAAGTGCAACTTTACCTTATGTTAAAATATAGAAAAAATATTCATACAGCCCCCAAAAAATGAGCTTAATACACTTTTTTATTTTCATGTATAACAAAATGAGTTTGGGTGGTTTTTTTTAAAGCAGTCATTTTAAATCGCAGAACCGGACAATTCCGAATTACGAGAAGAAAAACAAATATCATACAATAATATTGTATCAACAAATATTTTATTTAAGACTATCAATTCATGAATGCTCTCATGGTCCTTTCTTTACACTAATTGTTTACAATGTTTGAGGCTTTACACTTTCTTTAGGTGGAGGAGGATTGGCATCCCCTCTTGGTTTATTCCACTCGCGTAGTCCTTCCGGAAGAGTGGTATCCTCCTCGAATGAACCGGTACCTTCCACAAACTCCTCATAGGTCGACTTCTCCGGGAACGGCCGTTTGCCTAACAATTCGATCATATCGTCTCTGCTGATTATTTCTTTTTGAAGTAACCGTTCCGCCACTCTCTCCACGTCCGCTTTGTGTTTTTTCAGTAACTCGGTGGTTTGTTTGTGAGCGCTCTCAATTAGGATGCGTACTTCCGCGTCGATGAGTTGCGCGGTGCTCTCGGAGTAAGGCTTTTCCAATACCATGTCACCTTCTCTCGGCATATCGAAGCTAACATTACCGACTTTTTCGTTCATGCCAAACTGTACGATTTGCGCGTAGGCACTTTGTGTAACTTTTTGAAGATCGTCCTGCGCGCCCGTCGTTATTCTGCCAAAGAAGAGTTCTTCCGAGACGCGACCTCCCAAAGTCATACACATTCTGTCAAACAATTGCTCTTTTGTGTACAAATATTGATCTTTAGGTAGATATTGGGCATAGCCTAATCCCTTTCCCCTGGGAATTATGGATACCTTAAGCAGGGGATCTGCATACTGCAAAAACCAGCCCGCAACCGCATGGCCAGCCTCGTGGTATGCCACGGTTCGCTTCTCCTCGGGTGAAAGAACATTCGTTTTCTTCTCCATGCCGGCGACTACGCGCTCGATGGCTTGCTCGAAGTGTTTCATGATTATGGAATTGTTTAAATCCCTAGCAGCGATCAACGCCGCTTCGTTGCATACATTAGCGATATCGGCCCCAGTGAAACCCGGCGTTAAAGCCGCCATCTTCCGTGCGAGTCCGTTTTTATCCAGTTCCGTCTTGAGAGGACTTAAGTGAACTTTAAATATACTGGCTCGCCCTTTAATGTCGGGCGCAGGAACGAAAATTTGCCTATCAAATCGACCGGGTCGTAACAGCGCCTTGTCTAGTATATCCACGCGATTCGTAGCGGCCAAAACGACCACGTTCGTCGTCGTGTTAAAACCATCCATTTCGACTAACAACTGATTTAAGGTGTTCTCCTGCTCGGAGTGACCTCCAAGATTGCGACCGCCACGTTTGCGACCGACCGCGTCTATTTCATCGATAAATAAAATGCACGGCGCGTGCTTTCGCGCCATCGAAAAAAGATCGCGAACGCGAGACGGTCCTACGCCGACAAACATTTCTAAAAATTCCGACCCCGAGACAGTTATAAAAGGAACGTTCGCTTCGCCGGCTGTCGCCTTTGCCAGTAGAGTTTTCCCTGTGCCCGGAGGACCTGCAAAACAATCATATTACGAAGTGTTAAATAATACATCAATTAGCAGAGTTGGGCAAGGTGGATTGTAGGTTTAAGATGAGAGAAAGGTGGGAGGGTGGGATGTATTGGCGGTAGGCGGGAGGGTGGGATGTACTGGCGGTGGGCGGGAGGGAGGGAGGGAGAGAAAAGTAACTCAACATAATTAACTTTGAAGGAAACTGAACCAGCCAAACATCGATTGTTAATTTCACTAGTTGTGATAACGGGGACAAAACAAAAAGACAATTTCGTAAGTTTAAATTTCGAATCACTGAAGGAAAATTAACCATCCCCGTTCGTGTGGACATTCTCTTAATCCTCTACGTCACACGTCATCTATTGCGCTGTGATTGGTAACGCCATGTTTTGGCGGTAAAATTTGAAATTTACAACAGCGCACATACGCAAATTTTGATTGGGTCATTTTTCACAAATAACAATTAGATTAAATGGTTGATTATTCAGTAGGTACCTAAGAGTTAAACTTTCAGTTTTTTACAAAAAAGTGGAATTCCCTTGTATTGCATTGCAGCTGTTACTTTTTATCTTTTAATCATTAAATTTATAGCTATTGCGACTGCAACACTAATTATTTGGCATGTGATTTAATTAGCTACCTGTTTACTTTGCGGAAGCTAAATCAAACAAACCTGTTAACATGGCGCCCTTAGGAATCTTAGCACCTAAATCGATATACTGCTGAGGATTCTTCAGGAAGTTAACAAACTCTAAAATTTCAATCTTTGCTTCTTCACAGCCCGCAACGTCCCTAAAATAAATCCAAACTTAACATGCACAGTTAAAAAGCGGATCTAAGTTTACTTAAACCCGACTCCTATTTCATTAGAATTAATTAATTTCGCCGTGCTCTCCATTACGCCGCCAAACAATCCTCCCCCCTTGCGTCCTTTGCGACCGCCCATCATTTCCGCCGACCTTCTCATCATGAAGAGCAGAAATCCGATGATAAGTAGCGTCGGGAGGACGCCCGACAGGCTGGACGCCTCCAGTTCCGATTTGTAGATGACCGGCACAAAGTTGGGCGGTTCGATGTTCATCTCGACTTGTGCGTTTTCTAAATTACGTTCGAACGAGTCCACGCTACCAATATTAAACCATAAAAAGCTCTACAGATTGCTACGGTAGTGTTTAGTTTTGAGATGGGTCTACTTACAGCTCCGTCGGCGGTATTCCCGGCGGATAAGCGCACGCGTACCCATTTCTTGTTGACCACCTCTAATTTTTCGACAATTCCGTGCGCGAGGTAACTGAAATTTAATTGTTTAAATTTAAACCATTAAACCATTCACAAGGCATGCGTAGTGTGGTAGTATAAAGAATAGAATGGCGAGACGATCTTTTGGAGCAAAAGGAGTTTCATAGTTCTTGAAAGTCTGATAGGGGACCGAAGCTGTCGCGGAGTGGAAAAGTGGTCCATGGTACTGTAGCGAATTTTCTAGGGCGATGTCAAGGAGCCATCAAGTCACCAACGATAAGGAATCAAACTGAACTGTGTTTAACAGCAGTTCCCACATCGATGTCGAAGTGATAAATACTAAAATTGGCGCTCGTGTTATAAAAAAACGTAGTTTCAAAATGTGCCAAAACAGGCCTTTTCTAAAATTCGTTGTTGATAATTGAAGGGGGTGCGCAGTGAGAAAGACCAGGGATCTCGCGGCGACAAATGGTCCAAGTCCCTCCGTGAAGGTGTGTGATATTGTGACTTTTGGGACACGTATGATTTATAAATAATAATATAAATCCCATGAGACTTTTTGAAGACATTTTTTCGAAGATATCTAGACAGATTGCCGGCCCGTGTGGCGCAGTTCAGTTAAAGTTGAACTGTTGTTCTAAGGGTCCCTGGTTCGAATCCGGGTTCGGGCATGGATATTTGTAAATGTATAGTAGGTTGGGTTGGTAGAGCAGCCTTGGCTGAAACCCTGCCCACTCAAAAATAAAGGCAAAATAAAATAACACTTTTTTTCATATATGCGAGAAAATAAAGCGCGTTACGATAAGAAACGAGATCAGATAAAAGTTGAAACGCCACAACGTTGCCGGTTCTAAAAACCGTCCTAACGGAGCATGAGGGACGGTGTTAGTGCTATACGTGTACATGCATTCGCGTTGGGCCCGTTTCAGGTATAGGAACCAGTGAATGCATAAGTAAAAATTGGGTGGGAGAAAGGCATTCGTCGCCAAACCTTCGAAAAGAAACTATATGAAACAACAAAAAGACTAGTTTTCAATTAAAGGTTCGAACCGAAGCAGTGTTTTTGATTTTTACAAAAGATACAAGATAGTTTATTGTGAAAGTTGAGTTATTTCCTGAATTTTAAGAGAAAATTGTTCCGCCATTTCGCCGAAATATTGTCGTGGGTGTCTACATAGTATCATCAATAGTGATAACTAGGGTGCGCGGTCAGTAGGACCATGGATCTCGCAACGATAAATGGTCATCGAGCCCCTCCATTGAGGTACATGGTATTTCGACCTTCAGGGCGCGTATGCAATAAGAAACTTATTCAAAACCAGAGTACGGGTTGTTCTAAAAAATTGTCAAAACGATGGCAACGTGGGCACGTGCTCTAGTGCCCCCCCCCCGCCCCCTCCTCGGAACCACCATTTTCGTAATTTTCGACACAAAAACATACATACAGAGCGAACTATAAGAGGTATGACTCCAGGTACGAGGACGCCACCATAGCGGAGCGGGGTAGCGATAATGTGAGCGTCAAAATAAGTCGAAAACAATTAACTATCACACGGGGGGGGGGGGTAGAGCGTATTGAGTTGCGTTTTTTGCATTAGATGCGTCGTTCGACCGGAGGACTTCCAAAAGGCCAGGTCTCACCTAGTGCGCGAGGCGAGGAGAAAGATGGAGGGAGGGTGGGGGGGGCACCAGACTTTTCGGGGATATCTAAATTAACATTTTTAATGGAATTACGTTTCCGATCATCATTTTGTCGTTGTGGTGCGTTTGTATTATGATCACAAAGGACAATCCGTCTTTTTGTACTCGAATATATTGCGAAACAGCTGTCAACCGTTCAAACATAAAGTAACAAATGTCACAACACAACTCTTTCTAAGATTTTTCCTTCCTCTATATATCCCATTCAGTAAAAATTCAATATAGCGCCCTTAAGAAATAAGAGCCTATAACTTCTACATCTAGCGTTCTATTGAAAATCTGACAACAGATTCAGATTCTCCCAAAGAAAGTGTTCCTAGCAAGTGCAAATGGGAACTGTCCATTTCCAACAGTTTAAGCTGGGAAAATGAAAGCAAAATTTGACATTTTCAGTCTTTTGATGATATCTCAGTTATTTTGATTCCAAAATTTCAAATACGTTTTTTTAGTCACAAAAACCTACACTGTATCTGTCACCGTTACAGAGATTGCAATGGTGAGCAACGAATTTGAACCACCCTGTACACTTCAAGGTAAAAAAAACAAAAGCTATATTGATATTAATTTTTAAAGATGTAAAGGTAACATTCTTCGAGACATTTGCGTGTTAGAAAGAATGAAAACCCTATTAAAAAATATCAAAGATCAAGGTTGCTATGGGCCTAATCGAGGGCCTAATTGTACCTTGTTCATCTTAATTTTTAATTATTCATGCTGCAGCCCTACAGCCCTCGTTAGTGGCATTATCAAACTGAAAGATATGATCAGTATGGTAATTGTAATGACATGCACACGTAATCAATTTGCTCTTTCCGAAAAGTACACAGAGCTTGCCTCGCTATTCTACTCTTTACGCTATGATAGTATTTACTTCTGAACGAACTCCTTCCAAGCCACTTCCTTGTAGCCCATTTCCCAGAAACCCAAACCTGCAAGAAGCGCTATCGCACCTGCGGCTCCCAGAAGATACCATTTGTCCTTATCGCCATCACCGAAGGGAGGTTTTCCGCCACTTCCTCTACAAAATTGTAATTTATAATTCGTCTGAATTGAAGGAGAACGAACCTTGATCCGGTACCACCAAACAAACCAAATGACCAATTATCGTATGACTTTGATCCACTCGGTGGTGTTGGCTGTCGAGGTGGCGGTGGAGGTGACTTAGGTTCAGTTTTACTTTCATTTCCTTTAGCGTCCTTCGCTTCGACAGCCTCCTTTGCCGGAGGTTTCTTTCCGTTCTGGAAGTATTTCTCAAAACCTTTCGGTGGCTGTTCGCAGAATAATCTCCATTCGTTTAAAGCTGTTCTAATTACGGATAAATTCTAAAATTAACAATAAATTAGGAAAATGGAAATATTTACATAAAGTTTCATCACCTTAGGATCTACACTTGTTCTTAATCTTACGCTTTTCAACAATAGTCTTTCCAATTTTCTGCTTGTACTTAAAAGCCGGTATGCCATCATCTATTGTTAATATTCATAAGTAAAATTCATTATTTAATTTTTGCTTTTTTTATACTTTCTAATTCTAACCACACAATTTTCGTTGGTGTAGAAACACTGGGGATTTTGATTTTTGAATTTACGTAACAATTGGTGTCACTAGACCTATGTGAAGTTAGCCTCACATTTCACAACAGTATACAGTGTGCGTATAACAAAAGCTGCATAGTAAACCTCATTGAATTAAATTAAATAAGTATCATAACCAAATAATACTTGCGGTGAGGTGTAACGTTACTTATTCAACAAATTCTGTTACTCGGTAATGTTTGGTTGCCGTGGGAAGCCGCACTGTTATACCAAAACAGATTTTTAACACATTTATCTATATCACTAATTGTTGTTAGGTATGGATGGAGATAATGATACACTACTCATTAAAATCGAACCAAAGCAAGAAGACCAAATCCATTCTTTTCTTCAAGAACACATTTCTGTAAGCAACGAAGTCTTGGTGACAGTAAAGGACGAAGTTACCCTTAGTACACCATCCCTTCATAATGAAGTACAGCAACACTCTCACTTTCAACATCACTTTTTAACTCCGTGTAAAACAGTGTCTAAAGATTTTAAATGTGCTGATTGTGATTATGAGACAAATGTTAAACGCTATGTCAAACAACATCTTTTAATACATAAAGCTTCTAGGGATTTTAAGTGTGCTGATTGTGATTATCGGACAAATGTTAAACGCAACTTCAAACAACATCTTTTAGCACATAAAGTTTCTAAGGATTTTAAATGTGTTAATTGTGATTATGAGACCAATTATAAAAGCAACTTCAAACAACATCTTTTAAAACATAAAGCTTCTAAAGATTTTAAATGTACCGATTGTGATTATGGGACAAATCGTAAACACCATTTTAAACGACATCTTTTAAAACATAAAGTTTCTAAGGATTTTAAATGTGCTGACTGTGATTATGAGACAAATGTTAAAAAGTACTTCAAACAACACCTTTTAAAACATAGAATTGCAAAATGTGCTACTTGTGATTATGAGACACATAATAAACGCAACTTCAAACAACATCTTTTAAAACATAAAGTTTCTAAAGATTTTAAATGTGGTATTTGTAAGTATGAGACAAACAATAGCTATAACTTTAACCAACACCTTTTAACACATAGAGTTTCTAAGGATTTTAAATGTGCTGATTGTGGCTATGGGACAAATAATAAACACGTCTTCAAACGACACCTTTTAAAACACAAAGATTCTAAGGATTTAAAGTGTGATATTTGTGATTATGAGACAAACAATAATTATAACTTTAACCAACATCTTTTAACACATAAAGTGTCTAAGGATTTTAAATGTGGTAATTGTGATTATGGCACAAATGTTAAACTCAACTTCAAACGGCATCTTTTAAAACACAAAGTTTCTACAGATTTTAAATGTGCTAATTGTGATTATGGGACAAATGATAAACACCTTTTCAAACGTCATCTTTTGAAACATACAGTTTCAAAGAATTTAAAATGTGCCGATTGTGATTATGAGACAAATTATAAAAGCAACTTCAAACAACATCTTTTAAAACATAAAGTTTCTACGGATTTTAAATGTGCTAATTGTGATTATGAGACAAACAATAAATATAACTTCAACCAACACATTTTAACACACAAGGTTTCTAAGGACTTGAAATGTGCTACTTGTGATTATGAGACAAACAATAAATATCACTTTAACAAACACCTTTTAACACATAAAGTCGTTAAGGATTTTAAATGTGGTAGTTGCGATTATGAGACAAATGTTAAACTCAACTTCAAACGCCATCTTTTAAAACATAAAGTTTCTACGGATTTTAAATGTGCCAATTGTGATTTTGGGACAAAAAGAAAAACCCATCTTAAACAGCACCTTTTAAAACATAAAAGAGTCTAGTTTTTTAATGTGCCAATTGTTTTTGGGATATAGTAGGCGTTATCGTCAAATCACTGGTGCTCCAGAGCTGCAAGCTGCAAATTTAACGACTACACTACGTTAGAAAAACGGTCGAGTAGTTTTCAGCACTTTTATTCTTCACTAGGCTTATCGGGCTGTGGCATGCTGAAAGGGTCCTGACGAGCATACTGTTAATTAGCTAGTACAATTTATTTTACTCCATAGACACATTAAAAGTTGCTCTATTATAAATAGATTTCGCAAAATGCATTATAAAGTTGTTATGTTGGGTAAAATTTGTTTATCCCTGTAATTTGTTTCTTAATGGTTAAGAATGTACGCGTTGTAAGATTAGAAATATTTTTGTGTTATATTTAAAAAGTTTATCTCATGTTTTTCCTCTGCCTAACGATAAGAGTTTCCCTCATCGCTTAAAATTAATTAATTTTGTAAACAGGTGCTACGTCATGGCGATAAGAAAAGTTGTGCGTATTTTAGTACTACAATTGGGAAGTGGAATGGAAGAGAGATACTATTAAATTCGCCATAATGAACCAACATTGAAGTGCTATTTGAAACATAATGCCAATTGAGATTTATTTACGTTATTAACACTTACAATAATTAATAAAAATGATACATTGTATACCTATACTCATTTAAAAAAATGAATACACTATTAGAATAGGTGTAGTTGAGCCTAGGGCTGCTCTTCCACTAATCCTTAAACGTAAAATTTACTTTATGATTCCGACCCTTGCCTCTCTTAGGTTCGTTGTGCACTTGCAACTTTTGGTGTCCCAGAACCTCTGGACTTCTTCTCAGGCTTCTCAAAGCAAAACCCTAGGGCCTGCGTAGGGGCTGTCCCCTCACTCGAGGATTCTGACCTCTTGTTAAAATTGAGGTGTATCAGAAGATGTTGTTTGAAAACGTGTTTTTTATTTGTCCCATAACCACAAGTAGCACATTTAAAATCCTTAATACCTCTATGTGTTAAAAGATGTTTTTTGAAGAGTTGTTTATTATTTGTCCCATAACCACAATCAGCACATCTAAAATCCTTAGAAACTCTATGTTTTAAAACATGTTGTTTGAAAAGGTGTTTCTTATTTGTCCCATAATCACATGTAGCACATTTAAAATCTTTAAAAACCTTATGTGTTAAAAGATGCTGTATGAAGTTCCATTTATAATTTGTTTCATAATCACAATCAGCACATTTAAAATCTTTTGAAACTTTATGTATTAAAAGATGTCGTTTGAAGAGGTATTTATGATTTGTTCCATAGTCACAAGTAGAACATTCAAAATCTTTAGAAACTTTATGTCTTAAAAGATGAACTTTCAAGTAGTGTTTAGCATTTGTCCCATAATCACAATTAGCACATTTAAAAACCTTAGAGCCGTTATGTGTTTCAAGATGTTGTTTAAAGCTGCTTTTATAATTTGTCTGATAATCGCAATCAGCACATTTAAGATCCTTCGTTACTTTGTGTTTTAAAAGATGTTGTTTAAAGCTGCTTTTATCATTTGTCCCATAATCACAATCGGCACATTTAAGATCCTTTGTAACTTTATGTATTAGAACATGTCGTTTGAAGTTGTTTTTATAATTTGTTCCATAATCACAAATAGCACATTTAAAAACCTTAGAAAATTTATGTGTTAAAAAATGTTGTTTAAAGTTGCTTTTATCATTTGTACCATACTCACAATGAGCACATTTAAGACCCTTTCTAACTTTATGTATTAAAAGATGTCGTTTGAAGTTGTGTTTATCATTTGTCTCGTAATCACAATTAGTACATTTAAAATCCTTAGCAAGTTTATGTATTAAGAGATGTTGTTTTAAGTAGCTTTTATCATTTGTCCCATAATCACAATCAGCACATTTAAAATCCTTCAAAACTTTATGTGTCAAGACATGTCGTTTGAAGACCTGTTTATTATTTGTCTGATAATCACAATCAGCACATTTAAAAACTTTGCAAACTGTATATTGTTTCAAGTTGCATTTAACATTTGTCCCATCACAATTAGCACATTTAGAATCCTTAGAAACTTTATGTCTTAAAAGATGTCGTCTCAAGTTGCGTCTAACATTTGTCACATAATCACAATTAGCGCATTTAAAGTCCCTAGAGACTTTATGTATTAAAAGATGCCGTTTGAAGTCGTATTTATCATTTGTCCTATATTCACAATTACCACATTTAAAATCCTTAGACACTTTATGTATTAAAAGATGTCGTTTGAAGGTGCTTCTATTTTTTGTCTCAAAATCACAATCAGGACATTGAAAATCTTTGGACACTGATTTAAGGGACCCCTGAAAGTCATCTTCATTACAAAGAGATTTAGACCGTGGTGTACTAATGGTTGTTTCGTCCTTTATTGTCACCAAAACTTCGTTGCTTACTGAAATGTGTCCTTGAAGAAAGGAATGGATTTCTTCTTCTTGTTTTGGTTCGATTTTAATGAGTACTGGGTCATTATCTCCATCCATACCCAACAACAATTATGACATACATACATGTATTAAAAATCTATTTTGATATATCAACAATTTTGGTATTAAACAATACAGAGGGAGATCCCTGAGCAACTTACTTTCTGTGTACATTTGTTGAATAAGAGCGACACCAGTTGGCGGATTCCAATTCGTTGCACTTGACGAAAGCGAGTCGTTTTCGCTATACGATACTGAATTCGAAAACGACCTATTCCGCATTCCCTTTCGATATCGAATTAGTTAACGAGTACCACGATATCGAAATCCGTAGCGGACATGCGCATTCGATTTGTTTATACTTTCTTGCTGAAGAAAAAAATACATTAGCTTTATTCGTTTTTGAAATTCAAGGCGCACCAACTAACGTCAACGTCAACGTATGTCGGTAACCTTGAAGTCAAGTTTTGTACTTAGGGCAAAACAAGTTAGGGCACTAAAAACGAATGCGCTGGTTGGAAAAGTTTTTAACATAACCGTCTTTTTTAACCTCCAAAATTACTTGCACTGAATTATGGCGCTTACTGAGGATGTTATTTTTGGCAGCTTACTTTTTGAAAGCGATGAAGATGAGACTACAGATTCATCTTCCGATTTTGATAATGAAGTAGTGGGTGCAATAGTTTCATCAGCAAGGACAGAGCGAAACGCTATAAAAAATTACAGTGAAATCACTGTAGTGAGTTACAATGATAATGAGTTTAAAACTCATTTTAGAATTTCAAAGGAGCTAATGAACAGTTTGACAGAACGTTTTACTGAAAG